CCCCAAAACCCCAAAACCCCAAAACCCCAAAAGGTAGTTTATAAATAAAAATCAATAGCATTTCATTTTCCTCAAATTAAAATATAATCTTGAAATATAAAATAGCTCTTTTATTCTATTATTCACTTATGCTTTATGCCAAATATATCGAAGTTTAATTTGAACTGGTAGAGCTCATCATCATCTTTCTTGCTTCTAATCTGGTTCTCGGAATATCCGTACTTAGTCTTGAACATTTACATCTTAGACTTGCTTTGAGCGCTATTGGAGTTCTAACTCAAATATTACCAGTATTCCTTCTTGGGAGATCTATCACAACCAAGATTTGCTGAGTCCAGATTAGTCAGATTTCTGCTATGCTTGCATCCATACTTTTTCTTAATATCCTCCAGTCTCTGGGATAGTTATTGTTTAGCGGGACTCTGAGACTGTTTTATCTAATTAGGGCATTTTTGCTTGAATGATTCTTGACATCTTTTAAATAGCTAAGAAGATTTAAGCAATTTAGGATTCAAAATTCCTATGTTTTCAATTGTCAATTATTAAGTTGAATGCTTCTCTTGGCAACCTTACCTAGCAGTTTGAGGCCTTTGATTGAGATTTGCTGGTTTCTATGGAATTTAGGATTGCTTTAGATCCTTATTTAATGTGCTAATCGTGGCTCTTTTAGGACTAATCTAACTCTTGTCAGACTTTTCAGCATGATTAATATGAATGCTAGAGTTAACTTTGAACGAAGATCTTTAATTAGAGTTAAATAAAGGTTAGTTCCTGCTCAATACTTTGAGTTGGTTAAGATAATGCTAGCTTTTCTTGATTGGAGAATTCATATTGCCTGACTCATCCAATATTCTGCATAGTTTTTGCCTTAGAGTGAACGATTAACTTTCAATAGACCTTTGCTTTGTGATTGCTTCCTCTCTAGCAATATTTCTATTTTATTAGTCATTTTTTAAGTTTGTAACTTTTTCATCTAGCCTTTCTCTTCTATGATTAAAAGGAGTCTGAGGTCTTTTCTTAAGAATTATGGAATCTTGACCATTTTCTCGAACAGGCACTGACCTAAACTCTGCAGAACCTATCATGTTTTGAGTAATCTCGGTTTGAGTGGACATATCCATATAAACTTTGTAAGTACTCTAAATGGGAAGTGGCTTTTGAATAAATTCTTCTGTCTTGACTGGCTCTAAGTATTAGCTAGGAAATTCATCTTGCAATGGAGATACTGATCCTGAGAGCTCAATCTGCTTCTTGAATGCTGGATTTGCTAAGCTATCTTCTAATACTAACTACAAGTTTAAGATATCTGAATACTTAGAGTGGTCTCCAACACTTTATTGTGAACTCTACCTCTTGTGAAAGCTTACTAGATTATGCAGATAGGTTGTATCCTTTTTCTGATCAAAAGAGCTTTCTAAATCTTGTTGATTACTACTCTTGTTGATATTATTGATAATCTAGCATAGTTAAAAGTTTTATGATTACCTAATATGGATTAAAATCCTCATCAGTTTCTTGAAAGTTATACTCCGTGACAAACTCAGAAAAGGTTACTGTCTTTGGTTTTTCAAAAGAAATTTCCAAGTTCTACTAAACTGGTGATTGCTTCATTTGAAAGATTATGTAAACTGTTTAGCTTTAATTTATTAAATATAATTGAGTTTATGAGTATTAAATTCTAGAATTTATAAATATTTATAAATTCAACCTGATGGGGTTTTGGGGTTTTGGGG